GGCTACTGCATTTAGACAATAAACATATGCTTGCTGCAGCTTGCAGGGTGGCTCTGGTTCGAGGCCCTTTTAGACGCAGGACGCAGGACGCAGTAGCCAGCCAGCGGCCGGGTGAGTGCTAGAGTACTACTATTGTATGGCCCTTGAGTGGATCCGAGGCGCGTCTAGCCTGGCTGGCCTGGCGGACTGGACGGCTGGATGGCCATTGCGCACATTTTTTTGATTCGCATTGGTGGTAGTTTTTGGTGGTGGCATCAGGCGCTGCAGCTGGCAGGCAGGCCCTCGGAGACAGAATGAAAGCACCGGGCGGGTTTTGATTGCATTGGCAAGCACAGCGGCGCGTGTTGCACGGCAGCAAGCCGACAGCAGCCGCCGACTACTCATTCCCTTGCCCGTACAGTGCAGTTTTATACAGCGGATGGATGGCTCGCAGCTGTGCAGCCATGAGCGCAGAGCGGGCTTTGAACCAGGGCAGCCCAGCATCTGCAGCTAACCGGCGCCGGCTCGTGCACCCGAGTGCAGTGATGAAGTTCAGGTACATCTCCCGCAGTGGATCGTGGAGTCGAGCCAGTGGACGATGCCCCCTCCCCGCTGTGGACGTACAGTACCTCGAGGGCTTGCATCATGTATTTACTTGTACTCTATAGATGGCTATTGCAGAGCTACTGGGTGAAGGGGGTGCTGGAGTGCAGCAGGTAGGTGAAAGCATGGCATCATGGCATGCCGTATCCTGCTGGCTACACGTACCTAACACACACGAGTGCAGACTGCAGACTGCAGACTGCAGACTGCAGCATGTCTGGAAGCCCTTTGAACCGCAAAACAGCCGAGCAGCGGGTGGCCAAGCCGGGCTCCCACGATGCAGCAGGTGTGTGTGTGTGTGTGTGTGTGGAAAGGCAGGATGTCTAGGAAATGAGAGGATGAGAGGGAGATGGGTGTACAAAGGTTTGTGGTGGATGGTGGATGTAATGTGTTGTGCATAGTATAGAGTAGATGGGTAGAGTAGGTGGGTAGAGTAGGTGGGTAGAGTAGATGGGTAGGTGGGTGCAGTAGGCAGTTCACTGGCAGGACAGGGGAGTGCTTGGCAGATATTGACGTTGCCAAAGCCTGCCCCCGGTGCGGCGAACAGTAAGACGGTGGACGGTGCGCTCAAGGCTTCCCCTCCCAAACGTCTGCTCTGCTCTCCAAGGGCTCCCATCCAGGGCTGGCTTTCCAAGCTTGACTCTTGACTGCCAAGTGGGGTCGTCTTTTTTCTTGCTCAGACGTGAAATAATACCTCGCTACCTAGAGTACCAGGCTGCACGCTCCAGAGAGTCCAGAGTGTCCATGCCACGTCCAATTCACTCCAACTCACTCCAACTTGGCTCCACATCTGCAGTCCACCCATCTTGTTCCTCTTCCTCTTCCTCTTCCTCTTCCTCTTCCTCTTCCCCGACCCTTTGTCATTTTTCCTCCTCTTCTCCTTCTCCTTGTTCTCCTTGTTCTCCCACGACTTCTCCGACTTCACGACACCCATTACTACCTACCACCAACACAAGAGTTGAGCAGTCCTCCAACACTGCGATTTCGAATCA